TGACTGAAAAAAACTATTAAAATATCATAACTTTAGTGCTGCATCCTAAGTTATTCAGCATGTATTTATTTAGAATTTAACTTGTGAAGAAAAGACAGAATTTGACAAGCTTCCACAATTTCCCAAGTAAATTCAACAGAATATGTTAACCATTTCATGTGTCAGGAAAGCTGTGGGCACCAGTTTAGCTGAGATTTCATGACAGGACCAGGAACCAACTTCTGGATGTTCTGTTCTAACATATGAGACTGTTCCACCGAAATTTCCTCAAGTGCATCCCTAGCTGAATTGCTGAAGCTGATCTTTTTATTATCATTTGGTTTCAGCCCTAATCTTGTGATGGGGAATCTCCCCTCTTGCCATGTGAATGGGAGGCATCCATGACCACAGCAACCATTCCTTTGCTCCTAATTGTGTCAGTCAGTTGGACTGACTGAATCTCAAGAGAGTGAAAATAAATCGTCCCCAGTGGCAAATAGAAGCCAAAGATAAAATCCAGAGATATTTTGACTACATGAACTTCTTTGAATCGCTCCTGGTCTTCACTTTTTGATGGCTTATGTTCTTCCATCGGGAAGAAAAGCCTGATTTAATGTTTTATTTTACTCTAGAAACATATATCATCACTGTACACTGGCAGATTCATTTACTTCTCATTAAAAAAAACAGCCTGCTAAAATCAAAACAACTTCATACAGCATTTCATTACCACATAAACTAAGTGACAAGGCAAAAGAAAATCTGAAGATCTGTCCTCACACACCTCTGCACCCCTTTTATTTTGACAAAATGATGCAGGTTTTGAGGTTGAAATCTCTTTGGGTCAGCTCTCTGCCTGACTGTCTGGAAAGACAGGGTTCTCTTCCTTTCCAGGACTGTGATCTGCCTGAAATCCTCAGCACCTATCCACATCTAGAAGACAAATGGTTTCTTTTCTTTTTCTTTTATATGCTCTAAGTAAGAGAAAAAAAGATGCTTCTTACTATGATGAAAGAAATAAACCAATGAACCACCAGTCCAACCAGTCCAAGAGCAACACAGATCTGTGCTGCCCTCTCCAAAGCGTTTTGAGCAAGACTGACAGCAAATTATGCACAAAATACATTCCAAACAATTCAAAAGAGAACACCCTGATCCTGCAGAAAAACGACAGTTTGATGCTGAACTCTCCTGCAACTCCAATTTATCTTAAAAGACCTCCACAGCAGGTTGAGTATCAACCCCAAACTGAATAGCCCACAAGATTAATCTAGTGACTAAATCTAAATCAAATCCTTTTTTTTAAAAAAAATAAGATCTAAAATTATTGGATCATAGTTCTTATTCTGAGACTAACAGTCACATGTGGATTCTGCTCCAGTTGCCACACTATGACTGTGTGTTGTCACTTTGGTGCATGAAAAGGAAAAAACCCATTAGATTGTAACCAAACACAAACAAAAATATTCATCCTCCCTGAGCTTCCACATTAGCATCCATGGTGTCTGAAAGCAAACATTAATGAACTTCATGCTTTAAAATCTCTAATGTGAAAGCTGTCAATTAGAATGACCCCAAGGCTCTACCTGCTATTCACATCAGTTTAATAATCTCTGTACACAATATTTCTAAGGACTTTAGCAGCAGTAAAAGTGATTTTGTGCTTCTTGATTTTACTTTCTTCTTCTGCAGAGCTCACGTTCAATCACTTTAATGAATATGTTTTCCACACAGCTGCTTCCATGCATGTACAAGTGTCTTATGAAAGAAAACAAAAAAAAGCTGTTCTTTAACACAATAAGGTAGGACTAGGGATTGCTTTGACCTGGATTTCATTTAACCAAACCTACAAAGAATTCAGTGACTATTAGTATGGATTTTTTAAACTCTTATTAACCAATGATTTCCTGTTCTTCCTGTCACTGTACTAGGCCAGAAAAGGAATACAGCATTTTGCTAGGTATTGTACACATCAAGTTTTCTCTCTTTTAAAAAACAAATTACTTGAAATTTTGAAAAGAAACAAAGGAATTAAACGGAAGAAAAGGATGGGGTCAAGACTGAAACAAAGCTATTCAACATGACAGGTGGCTATCTTGGTACTCCATGGACTTTCTTTTTCTATGCATGACAGTGGAGAAGCTCATTGAATCACAAATGATTTACCATGATTTCACGTGAGATTACAGTGAGGCCCTTCAACAAATATGCATGCAGTTCAATTTCTAGGAGAGAGTGACAAGGACGTAGTTTTGTATGCAAAGAAAACCAATTCATAGTCCAGATAAGATCAAAGGCAAAAACCTTACTGAAGAAAAGCAAAACAGCCATGTATAATCTAGATTGTGTTTTTTTAAAAAAAATATATGTAGTTTTCTCCTGAAGATTACAGTCATAAAATTAAAATCAATCAGAAAATGTTGTTGTGAAATTATCAGTTACAGCAAATTTAGGGGTAATAGAAACCAACATTGCTTTAACTTTTAATACATTTAGTCTGCAAACACAAAATTTCCAGAGAGCCTTTTACTATGAAAGTTCATGTAATACTTTTATGGTCTTGTATATAATGATGTTCAAATATCAAAATAAATACTAATATAATATACAATCTGTGGAGGTGGTTTTAAAGTATCAATTAATTATATGTCCTCTAGCACTGAATTTTGTGCATTTGTTTTAAAGTACCTAGAATCCATTCACATAATTTTCTCCTTATGTTGGCGCTACACTTTTAATTCAGCATTATTTTTCTTTTACTGGAAAACACAACTTTCTCCTCTCTTCTTCACCATTCCTGCACAGTTCACAACAAAGACACAAACACTGGGGAACTGTGCTGCAGAGAACCCAAAAAGAGTGCTTGGTCTCCAACCATAAGTTTTCTTCTAGCTATGTTCACCTTTGTCCCGTAACTCTCATACTGAGATCATCAAGCAGCACAGGTTCTACACAATGATGAAAAATTACACAACTGGGGTAAATCAGCTGCCTGCCAGCAAAAACTTTCTGTGGGAAAGTAAAAAATAAAAAATAAATATCATGCATGTATTATCCCAGAGCAAAGAGGAAACTTAATTTATGCTAAGCGGTCCTTCATAACAGTATTAGTCCTTTTGTCTGAATTTCTGAGTAAAGGCAGCCAAGCCTGAACACTGAACTCAGTTTTGTTCTGGTGCCTATCAAATACGTTCAGAAACCTTTGCAGACTTAAAAAATGTGATTCTGTGGAAATGAAACCGTAAGTTTTCAACAGAAAACAAGCCTGCACAATGTTAACACAGTATTTCTGGATTTCAGTAAGGTATTTGATACTTACACAATGTCTTTCTGGATGAAATGTCTGGTATTCAGCTGAATAAACACATCATGAGATGGCTGAACAACTGGCTCACAGGTTGGGCACAAATGCTGATTGTGGCTGGGGTGACATCAGACTGCTGACCTGTCACTGGTGGAGTTCTCCATCGTAGGCCCCATGCCCTTCAACATCTTCATAAGCAACTTGGATGCAGCATGAGAAGGTCTGCAGATGATACAAATTTGGGAGGAGCTGTTGATTCCCTTGAAGGCAGAGAAGCCCTGCAGAGAGGCCTCGCCATAGTAAAGAAATAGGCAATCACCCATTCCTTTTCTATGAAGTTCAACAAGAGAAAGCACCAGATTCTGCATCTGGGGTGGGCCAGCCTCAGTTGTGTGTACAGACTGAGGAAGGAGAGGCTGGAGAGTGAGGGAAAGGGACCTGGGAGTCCTGGTCAGTGGAAAGCTGAATGTGGGTCAGCAGTGCCTTGACAGCCAGGAGGGCCAACCATGTCCTGGGGGCCATCAGGCCCAGCTGGGCAAGGGAGGGATTGTCCCACTCTGCTCTGAGCTGGGGCAGCCTCTCACCAAGTCCTGGGGGAACTTTGGGTGCTACAATATAAGTTATAAAACTATTAGGGATTGTCCAAAGGAGGGCTGTGAGGATAATGAAAGACCTAGAAGGGCAGCTATATGAGGGGAAGCTGAGCTCACTTGATCTGTTCAGCCTGGAGGAGATGAGGTCAGACCTCAAAAGACTCTAAAAATTCCTTATGAGGGTAAGAGGGGGAAAGCACTGATGTTTTCTCTGTGGTCACCAGTGACAGGGCACAAGGAAATGTCCTGAAGTTCTGTCAGGAGAGATTTCAGCTGGATATCAGGAAAAGGTTCTTCACCTAGAGGGTGGTTGGGCACTGGAACAGGCTCCCCAGGGAAGTGGTCACAGAACCAGCCTGACAGAGCTCAGGATGTATGTGAACATTCTGGCACATGAAGGTATTCTTAGGGTGTCATGAACTGGAAGTTGGACTCTGATGATCCTTGTGGGTCCGTTCCACCTGAGAATATTCTGTGATTCTGTGATGGTTGGTTCAGTTGAAATAGTGATACCTTTCTAGCATGTGATTTTTAGGCAATTCATTTGATATTCGTGGTAGAAAGTTAAAGCACTATTTAGGTTCTCTGGCCAGGCAGTAAATAGTGAGTAGTATTTAAAATAGTAAATAGTTTGTATTTTGGTGACTTGTTGCGGTGCATCTGTGCTCTTTGTGTTGTAAATCTTATGTTCTGTTGGTATGCCCTGTCACCCCCAATTCAGTCAGTTTGCCCCCTGTTGTGCCTCCTCCCTGTCACAGCCCCTCCTCCTCATCCAGAATGTTCTCTGTCCCTCCCCCTGGGGTGTCAATCCTGTGTTATGCCTTCCCCCCTGAGTGTCAATCCACCCTGATCCCTGCCCCTGTTCCAGTGAGTTCCCTGTCCTTGTGCCAACCCCTGCCTTGGAATTCCCCTAAACCAGGACACCCCAGTGGATTGTTCACCTGCTTGTCAGTTTGTGTCCCCTCCTTGTGTGTCCCCATTTGTTGGAACTGTGTGACTCCCGCCCCCTGATCCTCTCCTGAGTGTTCCCTATTGGTGAAGGATTTGTAACCTCCCCCTGAACCGCCCCCCTATATAATCCCCTACACAACTCTGACTTTTGCTCTTTGTCCCTGACCCCGTGGGACAGTGAATCTGTTCCAGGGGCCCGTACAAAGAGCCTGCTCCTCTGTTCTTGCCTCAGTGCTGACAGGTAAATCATGTCCTAGAACTCTCACTCTAAGCCACACTCCAGGTCATGCTTCTCCTGAGGTGTGTCCCACTCTCCATGTGGCGCCGTGGTGCTGAGCTAGCCTGGGACCCTGGCACCGCGTCAATGACTAATTTTGTATTTTCCATACTTTTATTGCACACTGGGTCTGCAAATTCATCAATTTAGCCACCTAGGAAAACAATTCAAACATTGCTATTTCTTGCACAATTTTGGGAATTGAACAAGACTGGTTTTTTTACCTTTGTAAGAAAAAATGTTATACTGACATCTAGGAAATGTACATGAGGAAATGTTTTGAGGAGCAAGAGAAGTGGCAGCAGGAATATTGAATAGTGGAGGAGGAAGAAATACCAGATTTCTGGTGAGTTGGTGAAACCCAAGGGGTTCAAGCCACTTGATTATCGCTAAAACAATATCCTCAAAATGGATTGTACCAAAATTGCTCTTTTGTGGCAGGATGTATAATCCTACATTTTTCCAGAGGGAAAAAAAATCCTGGTATGTAGTTCCTTTGAAAAAATATATTGAGAAAGTTTCCTAACAAAGCTGAATGTCAAGAGCATGTAAGAGGAAAGCGCAGGGTTGTCCTTTCTGCCAAATAAAATCAAAAGAGAAATGTTCATATTCCAGCAGAGTTTTATGAATAGCCTCTGTTGTACGTGGCCATTTCCTTATTTTTCCTTGGATTTCCTTCAATTTCTAAATTACTCATTTAAATATTATATACTCATATTGATTAGTAACATAAACTAGGCCAATACATTACCAAATTTCATTGCAATTTGACTGTAAATGATTCACTGTTTACTGGAGAACAGTGTTCCAGGTTTCATTGTTAAATTCTTAATTGCTTCAAATTTGTACTGTCTTGAAATAGATTTCTGTAAGTTGCAGATTGTTATTGTTCAGGGAATACTTTTAAAATGAGTGAATATAATATAGGGGCAGTTGTTACTGCACTCACTGAGCCTAAACCAGTGGCTAAAGATTGAATTTTCTTACTGTTAAAGTTCTCTACTTAGGTAATATTCATCTGCTATCTGTTGAACCTTGTGAATAAATGAAATTAATAGCAACTTAAGTACGGTATAAAAACATATTTCCTTTTCCAGTTCGTCTTGGGAAATGCCTACAGTGACCTCTAACTTTATGGAATCTTCATTATAATTTTATCTTCATATTTAGGAGAATGGAAAGTGAAACTTTTCAAAACCAATGGACTTGCACCCCAGCACTCAGAGTTTTTCAGCTTTCAGACACAGGCTTCACATTAAGGACTTAAACATTCTGAGCAGCAAAAAAAGAAGGTGGGAAAATAGTTCATCACTCTCTGATCTTTTCTCCAAACCTTACTGCAAGGGTCTGAAACTTAATTTATTGCCATGTAAGAGAGGTTTTGCTAGTTGAGAAGAATGCCAAAGCATTTTCTCCATCCTCTCTCTTCCCTGACTGTTTCCTAGCATTCCTCTTGCCTCCAGTTTCCAGTGTAGATGTAACGAGTTTGGGCAGCAAGGCAGGTATAGGAGTAAAACACTGTCTCAGGTACTCTCTGATGCAAATGGTGTTTCATGAAGTCCTAGGAGCTCGGTAAGACCATTTTTCCCCCTTCTGTTTCTGTTTAGGGTAGCAGGGGAACAAGTGATCTTAATGAAGTGACAGAGTCAGATCCTGAGACTGTGTTGAATCAATATACAACTCACAGCAGTGAATGAACCAAGAGAAGAAGACAGTTCTCCAAATCTTAAATTGTTTCATATATTCCTGTGCTGATTTCATTGCTCATAAGACAGGAAATGTAATAAAAAGTATTTTAAAGGGGTACTTTAAAGCTGATAGGTATCTTGTGGGCTGGTATCTTTTCCCAGGCTCACTTAGTTCTATAAAACTATGGCAGAAACCTCAAACTTGGGTTGTTTTTCTTTGAACTGAGTTTCCTCTTCCCCCTTCCCTAGCCTTCTCACAAAAAACAAGTACAAAACGAGACTCCTTGAGTTCTTTCTCATTTCTCCTGATAGAGCTGATTGAGCTGGTGATAAGATTATCACATAGAGCTGGAGCTGCATTTTCCAGCTCTGAATCATACTACTAGGCTTTACAGTAACGATTATAGCATCTCTTTTCCTCTTACTGGAAAAAGTATGTGATTTAAACATATTGAATTTACCCCATTTCCAAGAAATTGATTTCGGATTGAAGTTTCTACCATAGTAAGTCTCTCCATATCTGTTGCCAAAACTTCAGCATTTGCTTGCACATTTCTCTTAAGCTGGAAATGAATCCTGAGCATGCAGCATCACCTAAAAATGTTTCTGAGGTGTGGGAGGAATTTCAAGATCTGAAAATGAACAAACCACAGAAAATGTCTTGAAGCCAAAATATGATGGTAGAATGACATAGTGACTGCATCATGATTTTTTTTGTGTGTTTAGAGCTTCCAGCATTCACTCTTGTAGAGATTTGATTTGTGTTAAATAGACCAAAACCATGAAGCTTCAGTGAAGAATGTAAATGTCTCTTAAAAATTAATTATTCACATTTTACCTTGAAATAAACCAGATTTTTATACAAAGTACAAGGATAGAAAATTTTTTTTCTGCCTTAGTTTTCAATGGTTTCAGGCAAAGTTGTTCTAAATGGTTTGCTTTTAGTTTCCCTCTCAACAAGATTGAAATTAGAGTAAAATTGCAAGATTCATGATTATAGGAGGTTAGCTCTAGCCAGCAGTTAGACCCATATCAGCTCACTTCCCTCAACTAGGAAAGGGAAAGAAACTGGAAAAGCAAAACAAAGAAAAACTTATGGGTCAGTTGACTCTTGAATAAGTGAAAAGGGGAAAAAAAAAACCTCAACCCATCCAGAGTGAGGCAAAGGAAATCACCACCAAGCTGATAACCAGCTAATCCCTGAGTAGTGGCAGCCTTGGAAAAATTACTCCCTGGTTTTATTGCCTAGAACCATGCTCAGTGGCATGAAATATTGATCTGGTCACTTGAGAGCAGCTGTCCCCCCATGTCCCTTCCCACTGCAGGGGCAGAATGAGAAGAGTGAGGGGCAGGGAAGGCCTTGATGCTGTCCCTACTGCTCAGCAATAAATAAACCTTGGTGTGCTACCAACACTGCTTTGGTCACTAATCTAAGCCACAGCACCACACAGGCTCCTAGAAAGAAAATCACCTGCACCCAAGCTAAACCCAGTACAAGGCTTAAGTCACCACAAAGACTAAGGGTGGTTTCTTAAATTCTTCTAGCATTTTCCTGTCTTTCCAGTGCTATTGTCTAACAACAAACTGCAAAACTGTCTGTACTTATTTATATGATTTCTGCCCTTCTAAATAGCTAGCTTTTATCTGTTGGTAAAATCACTACACTTGGAAATTGCTTATCTAATATAACTGCTGCTCATCTAAGGACTTCCCACTTTAGCTACTCCTTGATGAACAGAGGTGACAATCTCAGCAGTCACTTGTGGTGCCAGGATGGTAAAGCCAGGCTTGTGCACCAGGCCTTGGTGAAGGCTGTTCCTAGACACTCTGACTCAGTGCAGCTCTTCAGTAGGGCTGTATTGTGTGTTCAGAAATATTTCGCTTGCAGGTACAATTTAATTCAGATAAACTCAAAAGCTTTTATTTGTCCCAGCATAACCAGGGCTCTACCACGAGTTCCAGCGATGTCCTTCCTGGCCTAAATGATAGAATCAGTGAGTCAGAATCTTGAGGAGTTGGAAGGGACCTTAACTATGACCTGGTCCCAACCCCTGCTGCCCTGGGCAGAGACATCTCCTGACAGACCTGGCTGATCCAGGCTTTATCCAGCATGGCCTTGAACTCTTCCAGGGATGGGACATTCACAGCCTCCTGGGCAAGCTGTTGCCATGGCTCACCACTCCCACAACTTCTTCCCCTATATCTAACCTAAATCTCCCCTTTTAATTTTTTACCCATCACTCCTTCTCCTATCACTGCAGTTTCTGACAAAGAATCCCTCTCCAATTCCCTTCAGATGCTGGGAGGATGCTCTGAGGTCTCCACACGTTTCTCATTTTAACCTTAATTTCCCTGTATCATTCATTAGCATTCACAGTGTGGCAAGTGTTGTCTACATGCTACACTTTCCCACTCAAAAGCAGCCTGCCTGTTCAGGCAGCAGAGCTTCAGACAGCAGCATAAATTGCCTGCAAAAAAAATGCATTTGTGAAGAAAAGTCTAGACATTTCATGGCTTTGCTTTTTTGTGAACAAACTAGGAAACATGTAGATAAAAAACCACTGATCTGTCACCACAGAACATTGGTACTGTATCAGTAGAAACTGATATGAAACCTATTGATTTTAAGACTATTTTTTCTAATTTTATTTCCTAAATACTAATTGAGGGTTAATGAGAAAGTACTATAGGATAGGAAAAGGAAGATGAAAAGGGAAAAGAAAAATTAAAAAATAAAAATAAAGAGAACAAAAAAAAGGCAAAAAAGACAACCCTTTCAGCCAACCAGAGAGTGCACTATATCAAAGCACAAGATGTAGTGACTAAAACACTTGAATAATTGATGGGCACTCAATGACCATCCAAATTGGAAGAGAGTGAGGATGTAACAGGACACTGCTCACCTAAAACTGAATGAGGGAAGAATGAAAGACTTAGAACAGTACTGAGCACTGGATGTCTGTGTTCTTTGGGCAACTTTTACTCCATACATTGATGTTGGCATAATTCAGTGGTAAATCCTTTTTACTCTTTTATGTGAAGAAACAACCATCTACAAGGACAAAAATGAGCATTTTTGGTTGGTTTCCTCTTTTTTCTCTCTTTTTTTTTTTGTTTCCAAGTAATCCAGTTTCTAAATGTCAGGAGAACTTCTTGCTTCAACAAGGGTCTCAGAATTTAGTTGTATCCAGACCTGAATCAAGCTGGTGCTTTATATATTGACTGTAGGAGAAATGGATACTTAGCAATAGTTACAGGGCTGTGCTGGGTAGCTTTTTAATAGAAAAGAAAAAAAATAATAAAATTAGTGTTTTGTTTCTAAAAGGGAGGGCAGTAGCCTTACAAATATCTTCCTGAATTGAGACTTGGCAATCCATGGTGAGAATTCTGTATATCTTGGTTTCATTATACCCCTCTCAATTTTTGATTTTCTTTGCTCATTCTTTTCCTTCCTCCCATCTCAGATTTTCTGACTGTTGGCTATAGCCATTTTTTTTGGACTCAGACCCTCATTGCAGGAGATAAGAACACAATTGCAACTCAAAGTATTAGTTCAGAGTGTGGCAGAATATTGACAGCCCTCAGCTAGCCATGATGGATTATTATTCAAACTGATATATAAACATGTAGAGAAAAAAATAATAAAACAGTGGCCTGCAATATCATTTTTTGTTGAAGACAATAAAGCTTAGTTAAGTCTAGCAAAAAGATACAAGGACCTGCAAACCCTGGAAATGCTAGGGGAAAGATTAATAAAATATTATTATATGATAATATAAATATTAATAAAATAATTATTTCATCAGTTGATGATGAACAACTGAAACAAGGCCACAATAATGAGGGATGGGAAAGAGTGAAAGCTCAGATGCAAAGAGAAAATGGGGAAGGGAGGTAGCAGGAGTGCACAGGTTCTACATAAGACATCATTTGGGAAAATAAAACAATTCAGGCTCCTTCTTAGTGAGACAATTCCACCAAAGCACAGGATGCAACCCCTTAAACAGACTGTATTGGAACAGCAAGTGCAAGTTCATTACTTGCAGGCTGATTCTGCATTTACTTTTACATACAGCTGTCTAGCAGGAATGTCACAGCCCCAGCAGAATTCTGCACACCTTTTTATGTCCAAAGTTACATAAACTTGTTAAGGACTCCTTGCCACCACCCTGAGCTGCTCCTTTTATCCCTCATGTTCAGCTGGCACAGCTGTTAAAGGAGTGTGGCTGCAAGTCACTGGACTAAATATATTTTTGTTAAAAATGACCTTGTCAAAGCAATCACTTCAGAGATCTCTTTGAACCAAATCACTTAATCATTGATCTTGTTACCTGAATGGTTTTCTAAACCACTGTCTGAGACTGAAGGAAAGTAGAGGTTTATTGGGTGAAAGCAATAATAGATGGAGTATATAGCCTCTTCAAAACCAAATTTCAGTCAAACCCTTTGCACTGTGGCACTACATTCAGAACACAAACAAGACTGTCTTGTCTTTAGAGAAAAGCAAATACAGTAAAAAAAAATAATTAATAAAGTTATTTTTTTAATATTTAAACAGTAAAATGCTTTTTTAAACAGTAAATGCTGCTACACCAAATAAATGTTAATATCAATAAACACTAATTTTCATACAAAATGAAGTCAAGCATCATAATAAGTATCCCTAAAAAAAAAAACCCTCTGAATTTTACATTCTTTCATTAAAAAGGAAATAGTTTATAAAGATTATTTTAATACAGATTTTTTTTTGTTTGTAAGTAGAGACCTTTTTTATGATTCAGAATAAAATTCAATCAGGCTCTTACATGTTTTCCTCCATTGTTTTCTGAAAGATCACTATGTATTTGCATGTGCAGTATGGCATGTATAGAAAAAGGAGAAAATCAAGATTTCTTTCACATGATACTTCACCAGACACCCCCTTTCTTATTTCTTAAAAACTAATTAAAATACTTTGTCCACTGGGAGAAGGACTAATTGGACTTATCTGCCCTCACTGTGCCATGTCACAAAGTGAAAAATCCTCACTAATGGCTCCTGAAACACCAATCTGAGATAGATGGCATTAGATGATTCACAGAAGACAACCATCTCTTTAGATTAATTATTTTTATTTTGTTCAGATTTGCTGATTTATTTTGAACTGGTCATGGGGTAGTTAGCAAATGTCATTCACTTCATTAAAAAACCAAGTTCTCATC